TCTCGCCAGCCGTAAAGCCACCCCCGGGAAGCTGGTTCTGGCTTGGCGCACAGTTCTTTGCCAAGAAAAATCGACATCATGTAACTCCACGAAGCACTCTGCTCACATGGGCACCCCTCAAACCAGGGGCAATGATCCGGTGACTACACAAGCGAAACATCTGAGTAAGTTTTAGGAAACCCAACCGTGTGCCCCTATCAAGATGGCAAAAAAAAAAAAAAAAAAGGAATTCAGGGATCCCTACCTTTTCATTCATTACTTGGGGGGGCGGAATTCTTCTCAAAACGAAGAAATTATGTACAAAACAGATGTGCAATATGCCTACTTGAAATTTAAGATTTTAAAAAAATTATTTATAAGGAGAAGGGCATGAAAATTTAATTTAATGTTCACCTTAGGTAATTTTGTGTCTTATTGTTCATAGCAATTACCATAAATCTACATATCAATAAGCAAGAACAGATGTCAGTTGTTACAAGTGCTTGCCAATCAGGTCTGTTAAAAAGTGACAGATGGGTGGTTATAGAACATTCTCCTAAGGCCTATTAGCACATTCGCAGGAAGCCTTGTCTGCAGCACGGACTGCTGGAGACTCAGCTTGGGGAAGAACGCGGGGTCTTTGTGGATCTAAGATGAACACTCCACAACTCTGGGAGCGGCTCCAATTCCAGTGCTCGGATCTCCGACACAGCGTTTTTGCAAATGTCTTCCCACTTCTCCACTTGTGACAGACACTCTACGACAGTCTTCTCAGAGAACAGGTCTCAGATTGATAAAAGGAGAACTGTTTAGCTGTTTTAAGCAAATATATGCACGCTACAATTTTATTATGACTTTCAAAGATGAGCAGATATTCTGGAAGGGAATTACTACCAGCTTTGCTGAAAATCAGAACTAAAATGAAGCAGTTTCCTCCTGTTCATAGTCAACAGATACTTCTGTTCCACCATAGCATCATAATCTATAATTTGTTCAGTAACAATTCCTTACCCTAGAAAAAAATTCCCCCGACACAGAACCCCCTTGTAATAAATTTGAAACGTTTTCCAGAGTGAAGGGAGGCAGTTTTCCCGTTACCATCTCTGAACTGCTTCCTTTTTAACAGGTTGGGGCCTGTCACACTGTTGGCGCAGGCTGGTCACTTGGGATTGCATTTATGCAAACATACATCTCGGGGCAAGCTTGGAGGGACACACACTCAGGTCTGGGGTCAGGCCGAGCTGGACTTGAAATTTACATCTGCCACTCACTAGCTCAGTGGGTCTGGACGAGCATGAAACCTCTCCACACCTTCGCTGCCCAACTGCCAACTGGGGCAGTGACAGTTCCTATTTGTAAAGTCGTCGTGACATTTGGGAATTCCGTACCGTGATCCACACTATGCCACTTGCTGGCGGTGGGTCCCCTATCAGTTATTTTACCTTTTTATACTTGCATGTTTCTACCTGTACCGTACTAGGAGAATGCTGGTCCTATCTTGGCACACTGTGAGGACCAGCTACGTGATTACCACGAGGAGCTCGGTGACAAACAAAATTGTGACACACTTCCGTTGTTTTCCTATCATCGTGTTCTTTTGAGAGAGTTGTTTTAAAGAAACAACTTTCTTCCTTTCTCCTTTAAGAAAAATCCAGACTTTTAGCCCAAACTCAACAAGATTCTGAGATTTTTAGAGATTCACTGAATACCACCAGTTGAGTGAGAAAAGGACGAGTTTTTATTAGAAGTTTTATGAGGGAAAATAAATTATGAGGGAAAATAAAATCAGTCAACTTCTAGGAGGCACCAAAAGTATACATAAAAGCATTCTACTTATAAAGATGCGATCCTAATCCATTTTCTGTTTTCAAATTCCACATTTAGTCAAGATTCTCCTCTATAAAAATCGTAAAACACATTTGAAGTTATTTTTGGTTTGAAGGGAAAATGGTATGATTTTTTTGGGAAAAAACATACAGCTATGTCTCATCTTATTGATGCAACTACTTAGGAAGTTGTCATCTAAAATTTCTTTTTGTATTTCTTTTCTTGGTTTTATTTTATTTTCTCCTCAAACAGAAAATGTTTCACTCATATAAATGTGGCATTTTAGACTCTAGCTATAAACTTCAGACTCCTGAAGGATAGACCATCATGTTTTGAGAGTTGTTTGCGGCAAAATATTATTGGCTTATGAAAAGATACTTCACTCTCTCGGGTGACAGTGTCGCAGGCTGGACTACTTGAATTTTGGACGTGAAGGCTGTAATATATGTCACTGTAATGCATAAAAATTATAACCGAACTGTTTATGAGCCTACTCCTACGCCATGACATCACTCACTCAGCAAGCATGAGCAGGGATGAATGACCTCTCCGGGTCCCTCCCCCACTGTGCCACCACTGCATGGCTCCTTCTGCATATGTTACGTTTCGTATCACACAAACTATCTCCAAATCCCAGCAACTCATCTGCAAAGATTCTGTCATTAGTTTATGTACTATTCTTCTGGTTTATACATAAAGGCTAAAACCAAATTTCTTAATTCAAAAACCAGGCACTTAACCTAAGGCCCACTGGGAATGTATCCAAAACATAAATTCATGCATGTCAATGCATGAGTGACCCTGCTCACTCATCCACTCAAGAGCAGTCACGAGTGGCTCTTAGAGTGAGGGCTGAGGCCACGGGCCACCAGGCTGCGCCCTCCTGGAGGACCACAAAGTTGGGGTACCAGAGAAGCGAGGGTGGGAGAAAGTATGGAGCTTTGAGGGTACACAGAAGAGAGGGTCCTCTCACACCTGCAGGAGCTGGGACAGCTGCTTCCAGAGGTCATCTCTGCCACCAACCCACCAGGATCACTTCATACTACTGGTGCAGATGAACCACAAGGACAAAAGCTGAGCCCTACTATTGGGACGAAAGAACAGAAGAGGCCTGGGGGAAAGATACGCCAAACTATAATGCTTCGAATACTCAGGAAGGTGAGACCATAGGAATGTTGCTGAAATCGCCAAGCGTGCACAACCTGGACAACTGCCCCTCGGACACTCTAAGATAGTCGAGATGACGACAGATAATGGAATGGTCAGCATCTGATTCCGCAGCCCGTGCAGACTTAAGGTGCTGAACTGAAATATGGTGAAGGCTCAAGAAATGGGTATTCTGGGAAGCACAGAGCATTTACAGAACGCCTATAAATTAGCCAAGTGCGCCACAGCTCCTCATAAAGGGACTCCCAGACACCCTCAGTGTTCAGATGAGGCGCAGGGCACGTGAATGCTCACGCCCCGACCCACGGCTGGCGTGGCAGAGGCAGGGGCTTCCTAATGAAAGCCGACAGGGCGCTCTGCCCGCCCGGGGTGACACGCTCGCCAGTAGCCTGCAGACCCGGTGACCTTCTCTGCATCACTCAGCTGTGCCAGTGGGAGAGCCTGAGACTTCTTCCAAGGAAAGCCCCTAATTTCGGATCAGGGCAGGTCCACACTATTAGAAGAAAACCAGCCGGGGCTGAGGGTGTGACCAATCTTAGCATTTATTCTAACGCTTGCAATCGGGAGCTTTTTTCTTTTAAAACAGAAAACCCCCTGGATATTTTACTTATGCCTCTCCAGTTCTCATCATAGAATTAAAAATAAACATTCCATGTGATTTCTAGCTCCAAGGCCGGCTCCCCAAACTGTATTCGTAAAGATACCGCTGAATGAGTTAACTATTTGTCATTTCACGATATTTTCTTTGATAATCCAAAAAGCTGTGTTACAACAGAGTAAGCTGTCAGCGCAACAGATTTCAAGCCCAACGACAAATCCAGCGGTGTTTTTATTGCTGGTGGCGTGTACCTTCACACAATGAGCTGCCATTAGCCTTAGGCCACAGCGGAGGCGTGGGCTGGCTGTCACATGGCACACATGGGCAGAAATATCATGGAAAAATCCTTCCAGATTCATTCACAGTGAAATAAGGAAAAAACCAAGGTTACATATTTGAAAAGAAAAAAAAAAAAAAAGAAAAAGAAAAAAAGAAAGAAAAGAGGAAAAATGGAGTTTTCATAGTGACAGATAAAGAGATCCGGTTTTTATTCTATACATTCAGGTTTCATTTCATTGATTCAGGGTGTCCTTGATTAAAAACAAACTGTGCTTGATTCCAATATGCCAAAAATCTGTTCTTCTCCTTGCCCCCCCTCCCCCACTTTTTTGGAACCAAACAAGGAAAAAGCTTTCCGACTGTCGCTCCTGGCAGGTTAATGGGCACCTGTGTTCTGATTTATCGCAGGCGCCGCCTTGCCTGGCCCCGTGTTCGGTAAGGCAACCAGCATGGAGGGGGCACAGTAGGAGTGACCTTTCGCTTAATCACTGCACCTCCGTGACTACTGGCACAGCTCATTATGAAAAGGAATCCTTCCACCAGCCGGCTTTCAAATACAGTCACCCTTTGATTTCCTCAAGAACAAAGATTAGACTTTCACAGAAAGGCTTCTGATACGCAATTCTGCCAACTGGGGCACTAGAGTAAAAAAGGCACCCTGTTAATTGTCTGCCGTTATCAAGGGCTGCAAACTGCATCAAAGATAGGCCTGCAATCCCGGCTTTCATTATGGAGGTCAGAACATTTTTATTGACTGCCTATTATTAAAATTTTAGAGGGATGTCAATCATCGCGGCTGCCCTGGATATAGGAATCTTGCTGGAAATCCCCCAGTAATCAATCCCGTTTAAAAAAAAAACAATAAATGGCTGGAGAATACACACACACACACACACACACACACACACACACACTATGCAGGAATTCTCAGTTTTCATTTGAGAGCTGTTAGGCATAGTCAAAAGAGGGTAGGAAATGCAAGAGGCAGGAGCGCCCCTTCAGGGCAGCTGATGCCAATTTTATCGGAAATTGGCACGGGAAAGCTAACAGGTCTGGTCAGTTACTCTTCCTCCTCCTCTTCCTTACCCTCCCAACCGACCCCAAACTCACACAATGGCTCAGTGGAAAGGAAAGCGGCTTCGTGACTTACCAGCCATTTGCTGAATGCCACTGAACGCGCCCAGGTTGCTGGAGGAGGTGGCCTGCTGCAGGAGCTGCCAACGAAAGCACAAGTGCAAGGTCAGAACGAGGTGCAGGTGAGGACAAAGTGACTTCCTGTTTGAACAGGGGTGCAAGTTCAGTTTACCGGACATTTACAGAGGTGGCCTGGGGCTGTAAATGCATATGAATGTGTGATCTCCATTAAAAAACACAGACACTGGGAAACGCACACTCACACTGCTGCCTTAAAACAATTAATCAATTTACTGCTTTTAACAACCAGGTGTTAAATCTATTGAAACCAACACAGCGTGACTAATGGTCTCTCTTGGTAGTCTCCCAGTTACCAAAACTCATCCCTGTCAATCAAGGTCCACACCCCCATCTCCTCTACTCTCCTGCATGGTTTGGTTTCCTTTATCCTTCATGAGAAGCACATGAATTGACTGACTCTGGGACCAACGTGAAGATCACCATGACAGCCACAGACACACGTGCATCTATTCACGGCCACACATAACTGTATGACCAAGCGCATGGCCAGCCATTTCTAAGATGGTCTTCCCTGGCAGAGAGAAACACTGCCAGTCAAAACTTGGAATTAACTGGTGCAATGTGCTTTGGAGCTGTTCGTTATAAATACATCAGTCTTTTAAAAAAGATACTCATATACCTGTGAAAAAGTCTGCATTTTTCCCTAGAGCATGCAAAACCACATCTCTGCTGCCAGGCAGAGTCAGTGGGTGCCGCAAGATAAAGGCACGTGGCTCCTGTCCCCAAGAGCTCCTAGACTGGTCCCGTTCGGCTGCACTGGAGGTTTGCTTAGTGCTCTGCGGACTGTTGGGCTGGATGTACGGATATTCGCTTTAATGAGGCAGACAGAGTTCGTGGCGGGGGCGAGCCTATAGTTACCTCCTGTGTTCAAACGTGCATGGATACCAGAGGGCGCAGAATTACTAAAGGTATTACTGAAACATGGCTACAACACTATGGGCTTAGAAAGAACAAGATGAATTCACTCCTTAAAAGTAGCTTTTAGAACATATTTGGAGCTCTGCAGAACACAATGCAGAACACGGATCCTCTGGCAAAGGACAGGCCTCTTCAGTGTAATATGGAAAACTCTACAACTGGATGGGACTCAAAAAAACGGCACCTGTCAACTGAAGCGAGAGTGCCCAGCAGTGTGGAGTATCCAGGGCTGATCACGCCTGAGACCCACGAGCGAAATGTCGTGGGCCCCGGCATGAACAAGCACTAGTGCTGAGACACAGCCCGCAGCGTCCACTCACGCTTGGCTCCTCGCGGAGTGTGTCGGCTGGGTATCCCGTGTGCACAGGCGTGTGCCACGCACGCTGTCACACTCACACAGAGCGAGGGAGGCAGGAGGAGGCCGTGGGGGAAGCTGGGGGTGACCCTCTGGGATCGAAATACTGCAGTTAGGTTTGATATGTTGGGCTTTCCAGTCTCTGGTGTTTACAAGCCCCAAAGCCCTTCCTCACATGAGTTTTAAAAAACTAAGGTGACATTAAATTAGCTTTGGAGACAGTCTGAGGAATGATTACCACCTACTGAGGTAAACGGAGGTAACCGGATGGCATTAAAGCGCCACTAAGGATCACCCCATGGATAACCGATCTCTGGTAAGCCGGGGTCAGGATCGGTAGCTCAGCACAACCGAGGGCTCTTCCAGAGAAAAGGATTTTCAAGTGAAACGTATAGAACACAGTGACTAACAAAGACTCGAAGCCACGACAGGAGAAAGCATAGCAAGAGCTTATAATAGCATGTTTCTATACGTGAGGCTGAGACGAATCCCCTACTGTGGTCACAGAAACACGTGCCAGAGATTCCCATGAGCCGTGGGGCGCAGGAGACGTCCCCGAAGACTGAGGGTGGACATCGTTCTGGGAAGCCCAACTCGATCAATGCTGTGTGAGCATTCCAACAGCACAAGTTTGTGAAAACAAATTATTGTTAAGCTAGAATCGCTTTTTAAATACAATTTTCAGATTGACAGAAAAAGACAGCACAGCATACACACCCGACCGAATCTCTCATGGCATGTTTGTGCATAAGGTGGAGAAACGGCCAGAAAGTAACATAACAGGAAGTGGAGTCAATGCTTTCATGAGCGACTCCGAGGAAGACGGGGGAAGCCAGCCTGTCACTCATCACCAAACCTGCACCGAGCACCCCGTCGGTCCGGACCCCAGCGGCCACTGTGGGGCAAGGGTGGGGGAGGGACGGAGCTGATCCCTTCATCCCCGCCTGCACCCAGTCCCGAGAGGCGGCAGGCGGCTGGCTGGCACGCGCAGAGCTGAACTCCGTGCCCCAGCAGCAGCTGAGTGCCCTGGGGAAAGGCGCTCAACCTCTTTCTGGGCCTCCCTTTCCTCATCTGGACCGCGAGCAGGAGAATCGTACCTTTCAAAGTACCAGGGAGGACGTTTCACAGAACACTACGGCCCCTGCTACAAGGCAAAGCTGACGGAGAACACGGTTCTGAGAGGGACAGTGAAAACGTAACGTGACAGAATCAGGACACCACACGTACACGCACGCTCCGTCTCAGAGGCTGGAATAGAGGCCCGAACTCACAATATGGAATCAGAAATGTGAAGGCCAGCATGCACGCTCCGAAGCAGACCAGCGAGGAGGAGGAGCAGGGTCTGCAGTAGCTTAAGTACAAACAACAACTCAGGGGTATTCTCTGCCTTCCAGCCCCATCTCGCAGGGGTGACTGCAATGCGGCCCTGCGGCCACCACCGGATGTTGTGACGGCCACGCTGGGGCTCACTGCTCTGTCCTGTTTAGACCTCACTGGGGGGCTCGTCTTACATGCTGGACCCTGTGCCTTAGTAACGACACCGGCAAAGGGAGGCATGTAGCACAAAGGAACAAGACAGTGAAAGTTCACAAACCATGAAACATGAAGGATGGGGGAAAGAACCGGGTCCGTCTGGCCTGAGATGGGATCTAGTTTTGTTGGTTTCAAACGGATGAAGTAAGGACCACTTGATGTTACCGACACAGCTCCACTGGGAAGACCCAAGATCAGGGAATGAAAGTTCCAGGGGATTCTGGCTGCGGTCCTGGTGGGCCGGGCACGAGCCGGCCAGGCAGCCAGCGAGCACGCTAGGCACCTGACTGCGACACCGGGCGGCAGTCCAGCCTGCGGGACTCCGCCCTGCCTCCATCAGGCAAGAATTAAAAGAACCCCATTCTTATGCTCATCAGTTCAAGGTGGAAAAGGATCCCCCATAAATGCTCAGTGAGGATTGCAGCCAGCGCGGGCCCAGCCCCGCTGCCTCTCCCGGCCACTTACCGCCAGGTACTGCGGGGTCAGTCCGCCCAGCCCCGTCAGGTTCCCCCAGGTGGCAGTGTTGAGCTGCTGCATCTGCTGCGCCAGCTGCTGCTGGAGGCGCCTTTGCTCTTTGTCCTTCTGAGTGTCCGCAAACTTCACCACGATAGGTGAAGAGCAGCCCTGTGGTCAGACACATCGGAAAGCGGAGAGGGGTTACAGCCTGCTTGGATGCCCTGGGGCGCTCAGTCTGCTCGGGGCTGCCTCCCTCAGCTACCTCGCACACACGGGATGGGCTGGGATGGCTTCAAAGCGGTTTGATATTCCTCCTCCTCCTCCTCTGAATAGTGCCCTCGACCAGAAACTTCCAGAGACTGCCACTGGTTTCTTTGGGGGTAATCGGGGTGGTCGGTGAGGCCATTTGCGTTCTTGCTCTGATTATTAAACTGCCTGTCCTCCCTCTCTTCATGTTCTCTTGCTGCGACCTCCCAGGACGGCCTCAGTGACAACGGACCACACCCACGTTCTTTAATTAAGCTGCGTGGTTTGCTCGTCTTAAAGACAGACTCGTCTCTGCGTAGCTGCCTATTTGCACAAGTGAGCAGAGTTGGACAAAGGGGGAAAAATTGTAATGGGAATGCAGGTGTCTCCCGTTCATTCACGTATTTTTTTTACTCTTTCCAATTTTCAGTTGTGTATTTTTGGGCTGTGGGACTGTGGGAATCATCTCGATCCAGCAACAAAAGGGAGAACAAGTTGGCTTCGTTCTAGTAACTTGGAGGAAGGAAGGAGACCGTCAGAGAACACAGGCATCGACCGAAGTCACCGTTCACATGTTTTCAGAAAGGTCTCTCTTCTTTCCTTCCAACCTCATGTCTACTCTACCTGCGATTCCTGGAGCTACTGCAAACCCCAGAAAGCCAGAAGCACGTTCTAGTTACAGGAGAGAGATCTTAAATGGGCAGGAGGAGGATCTACTTGGCTTCTTCCCCTAATGAACCTCACCCATTCCAGAAGCTTCTTTCAGTTTTAATTTCCTTTAGAAGGCAAGGAATAGGGGTGGGGAGGAGGAAATGGCCAAAGGCCACGTAACAGGGTGACTTCACTTCTGTGGAAGATAAAATCATCAGGGAGAGTAACGGCCTACTCCTCAAGCATGAAGACCTCCTTCCAAAGAACCTTCCACGCAGGTGCCACTTGGCCGGTACTCAGCAGACTGAGCCCCTCTGTCCCCTCTTTCTCCTCAGGGTGGCTCCCTTAGACACTGTATCACAATTAAGGCTGCTACGTTTTGCTGAGGTAAAAAAAAAAGAAGTAATTCTACCCAAGTGATTAAATAAAAACTTTGACTAGCACTCAGCATGGTAACAGACCTCTCTCTCCCCCCTCTCAGAGATGTTATATTCCTATTTAAATGAGCTTTTCCCTTCCACTGCCTTTGGGTCATTTTTCTTTCTTCTAAAAAACAAACTTGCGTTTTCTTTTTCCCTTATCACTGTGGGTAGTTATTGGGGATGTAGCTATGAATGCATGAGGTTATCAAGTCTGTTAATTAAAAAAAAAGAAAAGAAAAATGAGAAGACTGTTTCAGGGCTCAACCTCCAGCCTACGGGGCTTCAGCCATGGCAGGCAGAGTCGTGGGGTGTTACATGTCAGTCAATTGCATAAAAGTAATATTTCCGTCATTAAAAAAAATCTATAATTCATTTTTCTTTATCTGCTCCACGTTTCGGCACTTCAGCACTTTTAAAGAGAGCAAAAACACTCTGAAGATGAAAATTATTTAGAGAAGGGGTTCTGCGTGGAAAAGCATTATTGTTGCCTCAAATTTATTCCATAACAAATTATAGCATCTCCTCCTCATAGTACATTTATTGTTTTTTTTTCTTCCTTAAACACTAAAAAATGATATAAAAGCAGAAAATGAGGCCAATGATGATGGCTTTAAAAAGGCTCATGTAAACCATGAAAGAGGAAACAGGCTGGGGAGAGTGTGAAGGGGACTGAAGAAATAGAAAAGCACAATATAAAACTGTTTTCAAGACCTTCTTCATTTGATATTTACATCCTTTTGAATCAGATAATACATCTTGGTTAAAGATGTAGGCCAGAGTCCTGAAAATAATGTAATTAGTTGAAAAAACCCAGACAACTTCAGTTGTACAACTATGTAACTGCATAATATATAACCTATTTAAAATGTCAATTTTCTTGAAGAAATTTCTTCTTCTGAGGGCCCCTGTTTAAGCATGGATGTCAGATTTTAAAAACAAGCACACCAAATTTGATTTTCTCACAATAGAGATGTGAATAAAGGGTCACGGGTGTCTTAAATACGCCTCATCGCTCTAACAAATTCTTCCCGTTTTGAGAGCCTAGTTTTTCCCTGGCTTTGGGTCATGCCCAGTTCTGCTTTAGGGTCTTGAATGCCACTTCTACAGTGACAAAGGAAAGCAGGGGGCCCCGTCAGCTTTCTCTGTGGCTCTGAGAGTTACTCAGGGGGGCTCCAATGGGGGTGGCAATGTTTCTGACAGAGTTGAAACAATTTAGGTTAAAAAATTATCTAACGGGAGACCACTATGGGGACAAATCACTAAATTACGGAAATAAGAATAATTAAGAATGAAACACGTAAATGGAGGATAAATACAGGTAAAGACTTTTTTGTTTTCCCTAACAGCACTTCCATTTTTATCTACAAGCTGAGATGTGGCTGGAAATCCACAATAATGGGGCAGCCTTAGTGAAGAGAAAGGGGGACCCAAAACACTATCACATAAATAACTGTGTGTTTTACAAGACCAGATTTCCTAGGTATTGCAAATCCTGCTAATTATTTCCTAATCATGGCGGACTTTCACCTGAGCTTGCCTTCAGGGAGGGGGGGTGTGGGTGGTCTTAAAAATGCATTGCACTGAAAGGAAAACACATTGATTATATAAGATATGTTAGGAATATCAAAGTCAAAATGAATGTTTAAAAAAGACAATAGGCTTTGCAATGCTGATATCACAACTCAGAAAAGTACAGTAAACACTTAATGACAATGCCATGCACACTCCTTCCCCCCTTGGCACCCACCTTTTTTGATTCACTATAAAAAAAGTTGCCCACAAAACATGACGCAGAAGGATCACTTAGCTCCCAGCATGCTTTGGGAGAGGCAGCATTGCAAAAAACAAACAAAAACAAACGAACAAAAAATAAAATAAAATAAAACCCCAGCAAAATGGGGCCAAAAGAGAAGCTCAATCCATAAAAAGTTTTTTTGCACATTAAATAAAATTGAAAATCTTTTTTTTTTTTTTTTAAATAGGAAAACACAGCTTCAGTAACACCACAAGGCCACCTCCGGAAAAGTTCACCCACACACAAAGATACAGTGTACACGATACAGCAGAACATGCACTCCCAAATGATTCTATCGGACAATACAGAAGAAGTAACGGCATATCACTCTCGGAAAGCTTTTGTGCAAAATTCTGAAAGGCCATGACCCAAATCACAGACTAAAAGTAGAGAGCCATCTATCTACGTCTGTGGGTGGATGCCCACGCCAGTGTGTTTATCTTCCCCTAAAGCTGCTATCTCTCATTAGGAGACCGAATTTGAGCCTTTATGTTTCTTTGTCATTGCTCTTTTTTTTTTTTTTTTTTTTAAGCAAGGAGACAAATCTCATTTTTCAGAGGACTCTCAGAAATCAGCATTTTCACTGTAAAATGAAGTGGGAGAAGTATTAACTTTCTCCAGCATTCTTGATGCAGAAACACAATTCTGTTTGACTATAAATAACTTGGCCCCAAGTAACAAGAAGAACCTTGTGACTTAGTGCAGGGCAAGCTGCAACTTGGGGCGGGGGCTGTTACTGTTTCGTCCATACCAACGCTGGGCTGGGGAACGTACTCGATCCTTTAGGTCCAGAATGACACTTTGCTTAAAGTGCATCATGACTTTAACATCGCAGGACCTGCGCTGCTGCAATAAAAGGCTCCAAAAATAACTGTAGAGCAAGTGGAAGGTTTTACTAAATGCATTTCAATTCATTAGGGGAAAAATGCAGAAAGAGAGAGAGAGAGGGAGAGAGAGAGAGAGAGAATGAGAATGAATATGAATGAATGAAAATCGAGATGGTGAAAGTTTAAATCTGTGATTGTCATGTGAACAATCCACACAGGAGAGAATTGCTTTACCATTCCCCATCATTTGCACAAAGAAAACAAAGAAAGGGCAGATGATACAGTACCTCCATGGTCTGAGACTGATGCATGGCTTTGATTGCATTCTGTGCCATTGCCCTTGTAGAAAATGTGACAAACGCACAGCCTGTGGGAAACAAGGGGACAGGGAGCAGGAAAGACAAAAAACAACAAGACAAAAGGGTTGGACGCTTGTTAAACCAACACAATCTACGAGAACTGCCACAAGACGACACTGTTCTCAGTAGTACATAAAAATAAACAACTTCTCTCTTTTGGTTTTATCTTATTTTGCTTTTTATTCACAGTGCTGACTTGCTAATCTGACCAAAGCAGAAAGATTTATTTATTGATTAGTTTTATTTTTTATTTTTTTTTTAATGGAAACTAGGGGGGGAAGTTGGGTACTGTTTTTAGCCACAGGGTTTGAAGTTAGCAAGATCTAGTTTGCATTTCCTAAAATAAAAAGTTGCTATTTTTCCATTTTCTCCTTGGCTGCTGATCTTTACTGAGGGCATCCACACATCAGGGCTTTGTACTTCAAATTTTATCTCTGATTATTTTTTTTTTTTAAGCAGCAAATAAGAACATTCCCACACCAAGGGCAAATTAGCAAAGAAATTTCAAGAGCTCAAAATGTTAGCAAATAAATATATCTCCTCCCTGCTGGGTAGTTAAAATATACATATATGTATGTGTGTGTATATGTATATATGTATGTAGAAATACAAACTGATGCTATTCAAATACAAACAAATATACCAAATCTGTTACAAGCTGTTTAGTAATTATTAATTATTAACAAAACAAATGCTCTATGACTCTGAGAATATTCAAAAGTGTATAAACAGCAAACTTTAAAATTCTCCATTGGAATTTTTATTTGCATAAAAACCTTCATGACTTTCGAAAGCTGTGGATTTCTGAAATGTATCAGAGATTTGATCCGAAGGCTAACATACACAAGACAATGTACATTTCTCTGAATGTACATTGTGAGACCTAAAGAACTTTCCATGCCTATTTTTCCTTGTGCTGCAAACTGACTAGACTCTGCACTGCCTGTTCCTGGTCCTCGTACCAGCGTTGGCCACCATGCAGGTCATCGCTACAACTACATGGCTCATTGAGCTTCTCACTAATAAAAAACACTGCCTTCTCAGATTTACATTTTATTCATCATGCACCCCTGGGCTTCTTAGAGAAAAAGACTGTGAAATTAATGCAGATTCAGGCTGATTTTATAATAATACCACAGCACACTAAAAGCTTAGATAAGCAACACAGAGTCATTTCACTTATGATCTCTAATGACTTTAAAAGTGCATTGATTTTTTTCGGCTTCTTTAGCCTTGCACAGTGTGAACTTAGGTATCAGAGCATAATTTAGTGTTCCACTCAATTTCCTCAAAACATTATTATTATTACTACTTAAAAGATTTCCAAACGAAGCAGATCTAAACACTGAGAGGCTGCAGCCTATTGTCATTTCAGAGTGAATGCAGGAAAGCAGGATCCTGGCATCAACAAGGTAAGATTGTTGCCCCTGTGGCCAATAAGCAAAACAGAACATTCTACATTCAAACAACCAGCAGATTGTTTGGTTTATGTGAATCGATTTGTGAACCATGAAATATATTTTCTTCTACGTGTGCACCTGGTGAGATTATCAAGTCAATCCTGTAGTGGCACCTTTTAATCAAACAGCAGTAAGAGAAGGCAAGGCCTGCCCGTCACCCCCAAAGCACAACGACATCCAGTCATGAGAATAAGTCAATGCATTTTTTTTTTTTGCATCATGCTGTAGTTTTTAATACACAGAAACTCTCAGTACATGGGAAATTCATCTCATATTGACCTCTTGGTTAAGCTGGCCTTAAGAAGCCTGAACAAAGTCCAGCTCGCTAGGAATGCAGAGCTGTTTCGTTCGTGTGGTTCTCCGGCAGCATGGCGGCCGAAGGAGCTTGCTGTTTAAACACGCTACCTGTCCCTAGACTGACTTCAGCTTCTATCATCAATAAAAGCAGTTCTGCGGCCTTCTCTAAGGCATCCAGACGATGTGTGCAGCAGAGTGTGAGACAGATGACAGTGCCTCTACTGGCTTCCATATTGATGCTGAGCTCTAAGATGATAAGAGTCCAAATTTACCATCTGCTTCAAAGTAACATCTCTTCAGAAGCATCGTGATCATCACCGACATTATTAACAGAGGAAATAATGCTATGAGGTTTTAATTTTTCCTACTTCTCGAAACTCCAATGGAGAAGAGGAGCAAATCTGGAGATATATTTGAAACCGTGCGAAGCCTGGACTAATTTCTGCTTGCAAATAGTCGAGAAGATTTTGTTGCATTCGTTCCATTTGCTCTTACTAATTCAGGAACATGTGCCAAATTGACAGTTTCCAAATGGAGGTTAAGAATGCATGAAAAACATGTAAAATGTCACCACGAATCAGTAAGGCACAGTTTATGCATTTGCCACAATTTCATACAAGCAGAACTTTCGTCAGTAACTTAGTGAGAAAGATGCAGCAATTAATAGGTCTCAGAAGTATTAGCAACAGAACAATAAAATTACATATCTATAAACTCGAACCATTGCCCTTTCCTCTATGAAAGCTGCAATTAAAAACTCGACTGATGCTTCTAATTATATGATTCTAACCCCATCCAAAAAAACTGATCTGACAAATCTGATGACTTCTTTAACCTTTTAATTCTATTGGCAGTGGAGCAGTAAGAGGGAAGCTGTCTCCTTAGGGGATTCTGTCAAGTTCTGTACTGTGTACTGTGTTCAGTTACTTAAGAGAGAAAAAAAAGTTACTGTGTCATTCATCAAGTGGGGGAGTGCATGTTGAAAAATGTCACTTGCTGTGCCACTCTGGATGAAGTTAAGCAACTTCAGAACCACATGTTTCTTGGAATGGTAGCTTGTTAACCTTTGTGATTTCTCTAAAACAGGAGGTCACGGTAAGTCCTACGGAGAGATTTTAATTTTCTTTTTATCACTACAGAAAACATACTGGTGGCGTTAGGATTAGGCCTCCGAATCTGTGGCTTTTTACTAACACAGGATCACATATGCCCTAGCCTAAGACTGGCTACTGGCTTTTTCTCTCAAGCCAGCTAGAAGGCTGTCCCCGTTGGACAAGAATAATTTAGGTGGTAGCTGTCCCGCTCTTCTACTAAAAATGAGCCTCTGGGTGCGGTAGAGTTCATTGGGTCTGCAAAAGACAATGGCTCTGATCTTGTAGGGTCAGGACTTAGCTATTCTAGACTGAATGAACCATCAGTTTTCTGGCTACTGACCAAAAACCTGGAGAAACCAGGCTGGGAGAAAAAAGGATACAGGTGTCCAAAAAATAAAGCTCCGTATTTCTCTTTTGCTGGGGAGGGGGTTTTAGGTGCGATAGCATGTATATTACTATCTTAAAACCTCCAAATATATAAAATAGGAGGGAAAAAAATCTATCTGTAAATGTGGCCAGCCTGTAATTTACCTTTGCAATTATTTATTATCTCCACGTTCAGGATGTCAGATTGCTAATAGAAATGAAAAGAGTTGGATTCCTCTTATTTCAGTGAGGTTGCCCTTCTCGCTGCTAAAACAGATAAATGATTGACTGGGGAGAGGTTTCTCAAAGTAATTTCCTCCTACAGACAAGATCTAAGGAAAGCACGTAGCCCTGCCACAGAGAAGATTTTTGGAACACATCTATTATGCTTGTCATTTCAACTTAAAGGATATCTTAACTCAGTTGTTATACCTTTTTTCTCAGCAGCAAGAAAATTTTGAGAGAACTAAATGAATCCTTGCTCTGCACACCCCCTTCCTCCCTGCCCCCCAAAGAAAAAGTGCAGGCGCTTTTAAAAGCACGAACAATGCCAGGGCCTTTTGCTTTTCTGTTACTTTTTTTTTTTTTTTTTTTTTAAAGAGGTGCAGAAGCCTGCTATGTTTCAACTGAAAACAGCATAACTTAAAATAACTTGTGCAGCATGAGGGAGAGCTCATCCTATGGAAAACTTGTTTAGAAATTCCTAGTTAGCCAAAGAAAGATCTTAATGCAGCCAATTTTTTTTTGCTGTATCTTTTTAGCAGTGGCAGTGGATTTGATTTATTAAACATATGCTACCAGTCTCCTACTGGGGTATAAAAATTATTATAATACTCTGATGCACCATCCTGATGGTGGGCCAATGTATTTAAAACTGGCAGGAAAACATCATTCACGTATGGCATCTGAGGCTGGTTACAGATGATGATCTACTTAATAGGCGGCAAAATCTCGTCGCTGCTATTAGACTGGAAGACTGTACTGAGAACAAGAGGGCAAAATACAGTCAGTCATCCAGGGAGTATGTGATAAAGGTTTCCACATATCTGCATGTTTAAGCGCTGTGTAGGCAGAGCTAAAATGTGGTCAAAACTGAGTCTTCCCTGTGTACATGTTTTAATAGTCAAAAGCCTTATCCCCATCTCCTGATCAGATATGACAAAAACAAATGAGGATTTAATGGCTAAATCCAGTCTGTGCTCTCCCAAATCCCTGAAAATATTGCCAATTCATTTGTCAAAGGTTTTGGCAGGGGAATGTTGGAACACCGTAAACACAGCTGGAATATTCTTAAACAAGCAGAAAGTTACCTTAAATGGCAGTGAGGATCTGACTCCAGTTTGTGGGGAAAGAAAAATGAAATAAACTCCTTCATTGTCTCCAGGTCACAGATACTCGACTGCCCCGGTGCAGAAAACCCCGTCAGCTGCACCTAAACAGCCCATTCTGACTGTGGGATTACGGGCAAGTATGTATTTTAGGAAATCGACATGCTAAGGTGACATAGTCAAATAAGTGCATTTGGCTTAGAAGCCGCCAGTTCTGCTTTTGAGAGCAAACGTCTCATTTGAATGGCCATGTGTGGGCTTGAGGTGCCCTGAACCCAGCAGGCACCAGGGGCTGAGCCACTGCTGCACGACACTCCAAAGAGTATCATCAAGTTGCTTGAAAGCATCTCAGACCACACCTTCCGAATTAGACGGCAGAAAGAGCTACTGGCCCCAAAGAGATGGAAATGCATACTCAGAGGTGAGCGCGCTGCCTCAAGTGAGGGAAAACACTAGTGTGTGTTGAGTGGCTTCAGGTGCTTGGCAGGTGCTAGGTGCTTTCCATGCACCGAGTCATGACAACTTCCCGAGGGTGTCTGTCCTGGATCACGGGCTGGTGTTGTGAGTAATGATGGGACTTTAAACATATTTTTTTCTTGCCAAGAGGTAGGTCTTGGCTTTTGAAAGAAAGACCATGATTCTAACTGAAAGTGGAGCGAGCTCTGACCAGCACCGCCGTGGGTCCCGCCAGCCCGGCCGGTGCACCTCTAACGCAACTGGGGGACTGGGCCAAGTAGCCTTCCAGGGAGGAACTAAAACTACTGACCGTGGCAGAGAGGAAGTAACACTAGGAACCCGTAGGGGAGCCAGCTCCACTAACTGCCTCCTCTGTCTTCATTCTTGTAGGTGAACTGGGCAAACGCAGGAAGAGAAAAAAGTGAACCACTAATGCAACTGCACCTCTCCCTCATCATCTAACAGTTTGACTTAAAAACTTTCTCACTGAACAGTTTCTACCCTGATTTTTGTATTAGAAGGCACTTTTGCACAGCAGCCGAGCCTTCGTTTCCCTCAATTTTTATTTATTTTTCAAATAGCTGAGCCAGCAATAGCCACTGAGAACAGAAACGCTTTATCCTAAGTGTCACTAATGGGAGACGTTTATTAAGATTTGATTGAAAACTGTAGTTCTTTAATAAAAGCAAAATAGTAGCATGAAAGAATTGTTCTTTTAACAAATGCATGGATTCAGGCAGAGGTCCCTGCAGCCAGCAGTCCCTGGGTCCTGCTAATTCAAAAACGTGCCACTGTCTATATTTCAGAACAAATGGTTATAAATGAGTATCTTCTTTTTTTGCAATAGGGAATTCTCATTAGTTCACCAGAAGACGGAGAAGTATTCTTCTTTTCACACAGAGCCAGCATTTGCATGAAATACTGAGGAGGGGGCTCCCATAACGTGTTTCAGGGACAGGCTGCGTGTGGTGTTGAGTGTGGTTAATCAACCAAATGGCAGATCAAATGAGCCAAGTTCTCGTGTTGAGTACTGTGTGTCCTGCTCTTTCCCATGGAGGTTCTAGCTGGATGTACGATCTGATCTGCAGACATAACTAGCGTGTGCTCAAGGAGCCTTGGGCACTGTAGGCTGCACTGCTGTCCATTCCTGTCCCCACCGGACAGGTGGACAAAGGGAGGTGGACAGCCACTTCACGAGCCGGCCAGGCCACCTAGAGACCAAGCCAGCATTCACAGCTCACTCTCCAGGTCTCTGGCCCGTGCAGACGGAACGCTCAGACAAAACGGTTCCCCATCGCTAACTAGTGACTCCCTACACGACAAGCAGGTATCTTTCCTGCTGCCATTTACAAACAGGGAAACTGAGGGATAGAGGTAGGAAAAATGAAATGGTGAAGGTTCCTAAGGTTACGTTTCATTTCAGCGGGAGTTCTGGGTTCACTGACCTCTGAGCCACTGCAAATTTCACTGTGATTAATTTAAGGGCTTTCCTTTAGTCTATTTTCCGTGCTATACCTTGGGGAATGAAAAAAATGTAATGACAACACTGCGGTGTGCCTGAGAATAGCAACAGGAGATAATAGGGGTTCTAATTACTCAACTGGCAGCAGAAAAGGGATTAGAGACACATTATCATGTCTTTGGACATGCTGTAACTCTTCCTATAGCCACACTGCCTGTTCCCACGCTCTCCTCTCTCCCAGTTTGTCTGCCTGTGTGGGCATCCGTGCGTCCCGGCTGCAGGACGACCAGATGACCAGGAGTGACCAGACCCTCACCTGGCTTGAACTGCTGGGGCGGCACTCCTAGGACCCGCCTGCTAGGGAGGCTGTCCCCGGGAGCCAGAGGCTGTGCAGTCTGACACTGGGCTGTCGGGCTCGCCCTGACGGTGGCCCAGGGGAAATGCTGCAGACGCCCTCAGCCCCCGCATCTGCTATATTCAGGGATCACACTCAATCTCCCATCTCCTTCAGCGCTAGAGCATCAAGTCTTTTAAGTGAGTGTTATATAACAAGAATTCTGGAATTGTTAGAAAATGCATAAAGTGTGATTTCCATACCGCCCTCCTTTTTATTTTTTTTTTTAACCACCTTCAGAAGAAAATGGAGGAATCAAAGCTTGGCATTGTTCCACCGCCTTCTGGTTTTCCTAGACTACCTCCTCTGTGGGGTGCTGGGGGTGGCTGTAGGTGGAACTTTTGTTCTCTGGGCCTTCAATTCTAACAGCTGACATTATGAAGCTCTGTGTCTAAAAATCAAAAAAAAAAAAAAAAAAAAAAAAAACAAATGTTCTTCCTCATATGGTGCTGCAATGAGGTAACAGCTAGTGCTATGGGTGAGAACTGGCGCTTTGATACTTGGGACCCCATCGGGCAACATGTGGTTTAGGGTGTCAGTGTTTGCCCAGAACCAGAGATGGAGAATGAAACTAAGTTTCTAATTAGCCCCATATATACTGCACTGCTAACTGCAGTAACAACAGCATGAAGACCTCTTCACGTTGCAAAAATATGTATTTCTTATAAGAACTGAGCAAAAAATATGTATTTCTTATAAGAACTGAAAAATCTGTTTTACGTGTACACTTGCACCTTGGATCGATTCGGGGAAGTGCAGTCAGACGCTGGCAACACTGAGCAACAACCTTACGAGTGGATTAAGGAAAGGGGCGTGTGGCATTGTCAAAGGGGGAGGCAATCGTGGAAAGAGGACAGTTATTTCCAAACTCTTTTGTGTCGCTGCTTGCAAAAATACCGGTTTGCATCAGGGCTCTGAGCTGCACCTTTTGCATCTATCATGGTGGCAAAGAAGAACCTACAATCTTCTTCAGGATGAAGTCACTTTCTGTCACTTAAAGAACTCCCTGGGCTCGGGACGCCAGGAGTTTCGCTCTTTGCAATAAAACTCGAACGCCCCAAGGCAGGCCCAGTTGCTGTGAGTCCGTGTGTGCTCTGTGCTGCATGTGAACATGGACACTCTCTTCTCCGTCCCTGTCACTGAGAAGGGGACACACTCTCAGTGCTTCCTTCAGGCGTGGGCAGAAAGCCAGAAGGGTAAGAAGGAAACAACAAATATCCTTTCTCTTCCTCCACATCTCCGCCTCGTGCCCCCCCCAAAATCAGCTTCCCTCTGAGATGGAAAGGGATGTGTCCGGTAAGGCAGCCTGTCTGCTTTCCATGTGACAGTGACAACCTGAGCTAATATGCTGGCACGAAGACCTGCTCCACTTGAGAAATAAAAGGTGATCGCTGCGGCTACAGGGAAACGTTCAAGTTTATCACAGGGGACGTGTCACAGGGTGGCCTCTCGCTGGACACAGTGCCTACGTCTACCTGGACTACCACACAGAGTTCCGACTGGCACGTAAGGAGAGAGGCTTTCTAGAAGGCACACTCACCTCGACTCAGCCCGTCGGGCCCCCGGAGGATCCGGCATTCCTCTATCTGGCCGAACGGAGAGAACATCACCCTGATATCATTCTCATTACACTTCTTCGAAACCATTCCTATGAACAATTTTCTGTCTTCCACGGCTAGGAGATAAAAATAACGAATGAGCAGAGGCCGTTTTATCTTTTTCCTTGTAATCGATGCTTCCCGACCCCGATCAAAACAGGTCCCGGCCGTGGGAGACCCAGGCCGACTCCCAGCCCTCACCCGCTCCTGCCGCACGCCCGGCCTCGCCCCGCTCTCCCGCCTGGCCCTCCCCGAATGTTTCGCCTCTCTGGGCGCGCTTGTTATTACTAATAAAACAACTTAGTAGGGCACAGGGACTAGCAGCAGTTTCCCATTCAGAAACTAACAGCGATGTGTTTACTACCACTTTGAAGCACTTGTGCAAAAAATAGCTAACCCACTCCTGCTGCAGAGCACTATTTTTGGATACACATTTTAATTTTGGTGTCTTGTAGGTGTTCTTTTAACTCAAGCGACAGGCAAAGAGAAAGGCCAGGGGAGGAGGCACAACAAGAGTGGAGGGCGTGCAACAGGAATAAACTTCATCAGACTTTCCAGGAAAGAAGACACTCCGCTCCCCCAATCCAAGTAGCCGTATCTCCATCGATCCAGACAAGAACGAGAGGGTGGGGAGAGCTCATTTTCTCTGCAAGGAAAGCACTTCCTTCCCACGGCCCGGGCTCTGCAGCGCTGACCTGTCCCTGTGCCTGGTTGTGACCAGCCAGGTCCGTCACGGGGGGGGAGGAGCAGCCAGTCCCAGAGAGCAGAGCCGGCCCCTGCCACTCGAGAAGCACCTCCGGCCACCCCACGCTCGCCCCCCGCGTAGAAGAACCGGGAGAGACCTTGCTGGACACTCACGCATTGGGGGCATCGCGACAACAACATGCAAATTCACACCATGGACCCCGACAGCTGGGAAAGACAAGGCAGGTCCTCAGGTGACCTGGGAGATTGTCCTCGAAATCTGCACACTTCTGCTCGAGATACACGACCTACATTTGGCCCGAAAGGCGAGGTGAAAACTGACTTCAGGGCAATGTTTAATGCCTTTTTTTTTTTTTTAATGAGAGATGCCTTTTGTCAGGACATCACAGACGCCCATGGGGATAAGTCCTGCTTATTTTCCATCATTTCATTTCAACCCAGTTCTGAAAATTTAAAAAAAAAAAAAAAAAAAGCCCACTGCATCTCAGGGGAAGGGCTCTCTGCCTTAAGTCGCTTGTGTATAAGACCTTTGTTTTCCATCTGTATTATAATCTTGTCATTGCTATTTCATTGGCTTTTATTTCGGTTTCCTTTATACCCCTTCCCTGGACAGTAAGAGTCTCACTGTCATTTAGCCGGCAAGCCCTTCCTCACTCTGGACTTACTAGGGCCAGGTGCTTCTGGAAGCGAAGTTACAACGCGTGGCCTGTGCCCTCCGGGAGCCGGGGCAGGTGTGCCCGGGGAGTCGCGATGTCACGCGGTGGCAGCCTCTGCAGCAGCGCCACCCACGCCTGCGCAGTTGCGCACGCAAGACAAAGCCACGTGTGGCTACTGAGCACTTCGAAGGGGCTGGTGTCATCGAGGAAGTGATTTTTAAACGTAATTTTAAAAAGCCATACGTGACTGCTACATGGGACATGCAGCTCTGAGGGGCCTGAAGGCAACCCCTGAAAGCTCCTTCTCCTGGAATCTCGGACTGGGAGAGACACGAGGGATGTTCTGTCTCTAGAACAGGGACCTGCCTGGGTGCCTTCTGCCTGCACCTGCCCATGCGCTTCTCCAAGTCCAGAGGAGGAGATGAGGCTCGCGGGGAGAGCGGTGGCCTTCAGGAGCTGCCATTCATCTGACGTGCGACCTGGCAGAACTGGCCAGCTAGCTGACCTCTGAGGACCTCGGTTCTGTCTTCTGTGGAGTGAGGGGTGGAACACTACTCTTCTTCCCGGCAATGGAAAGGCAGCCTGGCGCACCTGGGGCAGGGGTGCGGGAGAGGGGTGCGGAGTCCCCTGGACCCGGCCTCTCTCCACGCTTGGAAGACAAGGCGGAGAGACTTGAGGGCCCTCAGGAACACAGGTCGGAGAACCCAATGCGACGATACTCATCAACTACGGATCGTGCACCCAAGCGCTTGCTGAGAGAGGCTCGATGGAAGCTGGGGAATCCAAGCCAGACTAAGCCACACAGGCGGGGTGTGGACGGACCGGGCGGGGAGGGGACCTCTGCGGGCGGGTACGGAGTCAGGGGCATGTGGGGACGGTGTTTGGGGGCTGGGAGAACAGCCTGACCTCAGGGCACCACACCCCGTTTTCTGCTGCCTCTGCATGGAAGGGGCTCACACGTAGGGACAGGAGGGGACAGGACTTGTGCTGAGACGCAAAGCAGAGGTGGCCACAGGCATCGTGGGCTCTGAGTCCAGGGAGGGAGGGTGCTCAGGACCTGAGCTCCTGTATGTGATGGAGAATTTCCAACTGAAGCTCTTCTTCCTCCATTCAGAGAATGTCAAGTGACCTGTGGCAAAGCCTAGCAAGTCACGGACAGCGCTGGCAAAGCAACTAAGCTGCAGAAACACGGGTCCCCTGGGTGCCAGCTCTCTGCAGGACAGAACCTCTACGGCTCCAACACCAGGACGCCCGCAGGCTCTCCAAGGTGCCCAAGCTCCTCAGCACAGGAAGGTTCTGGAAGATGTGGCATTACTCCCCAGAAGAGAAAGGCATGGAACTGAGATGGGGCAAAGTAAGGAGGAAAAACTTTCTAGATTCCTCATTCCCTCTCTCTGCAACTCCTACCCCCAGCAAACTCCGGCTGGCATCTCTATGAAGAGTAAAAACCCTGTTGTATTTCTTCTTACCCTGGAGATCTGATTTTAGTGCTGTTAAAACAAAAAGTACGTGAAAAATTCCCACTTGGTCCTTGGTTCCCCTGGTAAACCTGTCATTACGGTGTTTAGCTAAAGCGGTTTGCAGGGTTGGGGCTTCAGGGAGATGCCATAGTGAAGTTAAACACACGGCTCCTGAGTAAGCTTAAAAAGGGTTTTTTTTTTTCCCCTAAGATGAATATTAAGAAATTGGAAACCACTCATTAAGAAATCCTGACTTCTTAGCCATCGCTAAGGTAAACTTAGACAGGCACCCATCACTCTTTTTAAAATAATAATCAAAAAATAATAAAAAAAATGGCAACCCGCATCGTCTCCTGTTCGGAACGCCACTTCCGTGTCTGCGTGCCCGCGTGCAGGCTGATGGCGCTCGCCAGCCGGACACCGCGCCTCACCGGCCGAGCTGCTGGGAGCTTCCCACAGTGGCGCTCTGTTTGCTTTAGTGGCAAATGCAGATGATTAAACATATCCCGCTTTCCTCTCGAGTTTTCTTGATTTTCCAGTGGAAATTTATTCATAAAATTTATTCCCGGGATCCCTGTTCTAAGGATCCCTAACAGCTTTGTAAACATTCTAGAAAAATATAGTTATCTTGAATTCACTTAACTTTTTCGTCAATTTTTGATGACTTTTTTTGGTGAGTTTTTCCTAAGTATTTTAGAGGCACTCAGTACCTTACTTTTACTTTCTCTCTTTTCTTTCTTTCCTTTTTTAAAAATATAAACAGGGTCTTTGCTCTGTCATCCGGGCTGAAGTGCAGTGGTGCAATCACAGCTCACTACAGCCTTGAACTCCTGGCTCAAATCATCCTCCTGCCTCAGACTCCCAAGTAGCTAGGACTAGAGGTGCCACCACATAACCCATTAATTTAAAAAAAATTTTTTTTGTAGAGATGGGGTCTTGCTATATTGCCCAGGCGGGTCTCAAGTGATCCTCTCACCTCAGCCGCCCAAAGTGCTGGGATTATGGGCATGAGTCACCACACCTGGCCCTCACCCATTTTTTTAATCTACAAGAATGTCAATTACGTAAATGAATCTATGTTTATTGTATTCTATCGGTGCTTTAGGGGAATTTTAAGAAAATAATTAAAAGGTAAGGTCCCTCCCCCTAGGGGAAAAGTCATTTTCCTCTAGCAGAGCCTGTGAACAACTGTGGGGAAATCCTTTCATGTACCAAGCACTGCATAGACAGGGTCCCCTCTGTCCACAATGACAGCAACAGAACTGAAAGGGGTTCCATGCCAGCGGCCATTTAAAGTTCTCCCTTCCACGCAATAATGAGAAAACGGTTAATCCTTTAAGTACAAGGGGTGACTCTTTTAAGTTAGGGGAATGGAAACTTCATTTTAAAAAAAAAATCCCTAATTGTGAGTCTGTGCTAACACCCGGGTATACAATCTGTCAAAGTCACACCTGGATTCAGGGCTGCCTGAATTAATTAACAACTTTTCAATGTGTTAGTGCTAACATATGGCATTTAATTACTGCCTCCAAATCTGTGAGTCTCTCCACTTTGAATTTCAAAATTATTTCTTCATCTTCCAGTAAATCAGAAAGTGACTGGCTGGGAACACCCTGCGATTCCCCTTTCAATGGCAGCTCTGCAGGCCTTCGCCCTCCCCTGGCGGTACTTGGTGATCCTGACTCCTGCTGCCTCTGAACTTGACAAACGCACACGAGAGGCTTTGGAGACCTCGAGAAAGAGAGCCGGTGGCTGAAGCGGCATTTCCGGATTCTAGGCTTTAAGGATTCCCAGCGAACTGCGAGGTTGGAGGGTTAAGGCAGGATGGATTAATGCTGTCTGCAGAGTAAAAACAATCCTCCTCGCAACAAGAAGGGGGGGGGCAATGCTGGCTCCACCACTGGGACCCCAAGGCAGAGCCACCGAGACCTCCGTGCTGTCCCGATCGCTCACTGCCAGGCTAGCTTCAAGCAACTGCTTTTAATTTTCAGTCCTTCAGGAGTTCGAAACCAGCCTGAGCAAGAGTGAGACCCCATCTCTACTATAAATAGAAAGAAATTGATTGGCCAACTAATATATATAGAAAAAATTAGCCGGGCATGGTGGCGCATGCCTGTAGTCCCAGCTACTGGGGAGGCTGAGGCAGGAGGATCGCTTGAGCCCAGGAGTGTGAGGTTGCTGTGAGCTAGGCTGACGCCACGGCACTCACTCTAGCCTGGGCAACAAAGCGAGACTCTGTCTCAAAAAAAAAAAAAAAAAATGAATTTTCAGTCTTGCTCAGCTGGTACCTTTTTCTGCATAGCAATAGAGAAGCAAAAGCCGAACGGCATATATGGAATGAAAGAGGAAAACTGTGTTCCGGCTGGTTTACACTGGTGCCCAAATCCACACTTCCTCAAATGCCCCTCTCATATACCACCATTCAACTTTCTGCAGTGGAGAAATAACAAAAACGCTGGATTCTGCTGAAAGCTGGACATATATATTCTACATGTTCTTCTTAACAGAGTCTCAGCGTTTCATTGCTTATCCAGAGTGGGGTGTTTTTTTTTCTTCTTTTGGACACCCGGCACAGCAGGAGCACACGGACAGGAAATAACGGTGCATGGCACGTTGCTGGGATGTGCTAGAGGCTGCAGCTTAATCAGAGCCGACCGACCCTGGAGGTCTGGGAAGTCTGTTCGGGAAAATCCCACGGTGCAGGGATGATCTGAGAGCACCCTAGCATTTCCGGGTTCAGCACAGAGGCTCGATTTGTCAGAATCTCTACAAGGGCAGAGACGTCCAAGGGTGATAGCTTTTCTGGAATTCATTTGTCCATCACTAATTAATCTGTGATTAGCAGCCCTTTCTTGCTCGGCAAATACAAAGTTTCAGAAATCTGAACACGCCGATAACGAAGACAGTGACTGTCTAACTGTGACGCGGCCTTTGTGCTATCCATAAATGTCAGCAAACTCAATAAGAGTGCAATTAGAGCTCGTTATACTTCTTTCACAACCACGGGAGCTATTTAGAGCACCAGAGTCACAGAAATCTTTGTGCTCTCCGAGCCTCTGGAACTATGCTTACCTGTCAAAAATGCCACGTGAAACCAGAAAAGGCTCGCGGCTTTCATCACTTGCTTTGGGAAATTATACATTTCTCCTGATTCCTCACAATCAGGTCCAAAGAGAACCTTGAAACCTGTTCGTGTCTGTGCCAGCGGAGGTTCCACTGGAGCCTCCAGAAAGAAGAGCCCCATTAAAAAGCAGCTTTCCGCCCCATTTGAAGTTTTCGACTTTTCTTACTGGCAATTTAGAAAATGAAGGTCAATCTACAAAGCGAAGGGGAGAACTGGCCCAACTAGAAGGTTCGGGGGTTTTCATTTGTTTGTACAGACCTGTGCTTTGGTATGAACAGCCCGAGCCTGGCCACGCCAGCCTCTGCTGCTCAGAACACTCTGGAACGGCTGCCTCAGCGGGTGGAATGACGCTGCTGACTTAGCATAATTCAGCACTGTGCGTATTTACTCTGCGCCAGGTATCACGCTAAGCTCTTCACAGATGTGAACTTACGTAATCCTCTAACCACCTTGTAAGGCAGGCGTTACAGTAAGAGTTCAGGCTACCCCACGGGAGCCCCTCTTTACGGCTGGTGACACTGAGGCTGAGTGAGGGTCAGTGAGTTGCCCAAGGACACAGGAGTCAGGAGTCACGTCCAGGCTTCTCAACCCGGTTCTTAACGACCACCCTAGGTTGCTTCCCCAAAACTGGTATTTTTAGATACTCTCTCCTCCTAGTAATGATGATGCCCAGTCCTGCTTGGCTTCTGAGATCATGCAAAACTGGGTGCACCCACAGAATTTTATTCTGTTGCTGTGGTTCCGGACCCAAAGCCAACATTATGCTCAGTGCCCAGAGCAGACGCTGGACGGAAAGAACAGCACAGCGCTCTGAGCACGCCCAGCAGCCTGCCCGTGGGGAGTACACGACTGCACCACAGAACACGTGACAGGAAGCAAAGTGGGGCATCTCGGGTCACGTGTTTGCAACTCAGTTCTCTAACTTGTCATGTTTCTACAGCCACAACCTCAGGTTCAGAAACCAGACAGAGCCATTTCCACCAGAGACTTGCATTCCATGGTCCTTGTCCTGACACGGTTTGGAGAATTATGGGGCCAAAGGACAGGGAGCATCTCTTGGTGGCCGGGAGCTCCGAGATGACCTGTCCTGACGGGATGCATCCCACAAATACAAAATCATCTCTCCTCTCTCCGGGTGAGGACCTGAACAGACTACAAGCAGGCACCTTTCAGAGCAAAAGGCCTGAAGAAGTCACACAGGTAGAACGGCCGCCTTACACAGGTAGGCATACTCAACAAAGGACCCCGAAGAGCCAGGGCACCACTTCCAGGTGAGGACAGGAATCAACGTTTCTATGGTTACACACACTGTTAACAGACACCTCATTTGAGTCTTGAGGGGGAAAGGTCAACCTATGAGAGGCCGTTACCATTAATCCCATTTTCAGAAAAAGGAGACTGAAGTCCAGTGTGGAAGTGACTTCTAGATACTTAAGTCAGGAGACTGAATGTAAGTTCCATGAGGCCAGAGACACGGTCTCTTGTAACCTTTTCTTCTTCTTCCTTCCCTTACTCATTGCTGCAGCCCCAGCACCTAGCAATGTTCCTGGCACACAGCAAGGTGTCCACAAATCACCGAATACAGGTGTGAAGTGACTTGGTCACAGTCCCGCAACAAAGGAGCAGCACGTTTTAGAACTTGTGACACTAAATGCCATGTTTGTGATCAAGCAATATAGAAAAAAGGGAATTAACGCCAAGAAAAAAGTATAAGGCTGAGAAGAAGACGGGGGTAAAAGTACCAAAGTCTACTCCTAGATACAGTAAAGTTTTTTGTTTTTTTTTTAACTTTACTTATTTATACAGGGCTGGGGTCTCACTATGTTGCCCAGGCTGGCCTTGAGAGCCCGGGCTCGAGCAATCCTCCCCCCTCAGCCTCTGAGCGGCCGGGACTACAGGGGCAGGCTACCGTGCCCCGCTGAGAGGGGAAGGCTCTGGCAAACCAAGTGCCGGCAGCACCGCGCTAGGACTTGGAATTTTCTTCAAAACTTTGTAGTCTGTGGAGAAGCCAGAAAATGGAATGCGCTACAATTAGCAAAAAATACCTTGCGGAGAGATTCAGAGCCCAATCATAATTTACATTTGCAGATATGCAGATCTCTAAGTGCATGGCTTCTGCCCTGATTACTAATTAATGAGGTGCAAAACTGCCTGTTGGAAGGAAACGGTGCTGATTATGTCAGTCTTGTGGGACGGACGGAGGAGCTCTCCGGTCTAGGGAGGCAGACGATCCTTTTAACATACATTTCAGGAAATGAAAAGAACAAAACAGGGACAGAAGGCTTGTAGAGATGGAAGCAAAAACTTGAGAGAGAGAGACAGACGTGGCTATCAACTCTCTGGTGTCTGGAAGAGGCAAATCCCAATTACTGCACGGACCTCATCAAAGGCGTATTTTTGTACCCAGCGAACGTTCATTTAATCAGCAGACTGAACTCTGAATTCTGATGCAAATGCATCGGCACAATTTAGGGAAGAGTGCAACGAGACAGTCTCCAAGTCAAAGAGGAACAAATGGAAAGACAAAAAATAAATAAATAAACAAAAAGGGAAAGGAGAAGGTGGGAGCCGAATCCTTCACAGGCAATTCCTTTCCCGCCCCACACCAGGTGTCCCCATGTTGCTCTGCTGGAGGAGACAAGAGCCACAGGGCCACGACACAGGGAAAACCATCAACAGAGGGACATGGGACACACTGCTCGTCGAGGTCTCACAGATCTGTACACCAGAGATCAGCGACGCAGGAGAGGGGAGTGGGCCCTTCTCCAGACCTGCGGGCTCGGCGGAAGGCTCCCCGAGCAGTGCTCTCTGCCCCCCCGCCCCCAAGAGCAAAAGCAGCTGGGCTGGCTCTTCCCACCCCCTCCCCCCCATACTCTTCCATTTAAAGCAGCAAACATTATTAAAGGAGACAGTGGGTTACCACCTACCGTTTGACTTTTCACTGTCTGCAGGTTTCATCTGAATGGGATGATGCATCTAGAAACACAAAAGTGAGACGGTCAAGGCAGATTGAACAACTGGAAACACAGTCTCAGAAATCTGAAGCAACGCATGTACCAACACTGTTTCAGGGGCACATAAGTAATCATAAAGCTTCTCCCGGGTAACATCTACTACATCAAAAAGCAAGCCTGTGTTTTTTTGTATTCAGGAATCTAACCCTTTTAAGCCACGGGGCCCTGGAACCCAGTATGTATTTAGAAGCTTGGGCTTTGGAGTTTAGACGAGTTTGAAATCTGGTTCTGCCACTCAAAATATAGACTCTGCCTCTATCTTCTAGGTAATTCTGGTCCTGCCATTCGTGACAGCTGTGTGATCCTGGGCAAGTGTCTTAACTTCTCTGAGCTCCAGCCTCCTCGTCTGTGAGACAGGGATAACACCTGCATGGTAGGATTGTGAGCTTTAAATGAGAAAACGCATGCACTTCACAAGCAGAGCCTAAAATGTGCTGGGGAAAAAAAAATTCAGGTGTGGTTATTGTATCATTACAAATCTAAATGCAGACGGTCTTTGTTCCTCTTCTGGCTACTCTACGTTTGTTCACGTGGGTTTTTCAGGTCTCACGAGTATTTGGAAGGCCTAGCAGGTGACTGACTCACGAGCGGGTATACGGTTTTCATTCTGCAAGTGCAGAGCCACTGAGGCACCAAGGGACACGCATAGACCAGGCAGGAAAGAGGGAGCAAGACGCAGACCACGCAGCCACGAGATCGTGGCTCGTGCATACACGGGAGTAGAAAGAACCTTGAACGGCGGGGCCGAGGTCCCGAGCCGAGCCCGACCCGGACGCTCTCACATGGCGTCCCCTACTCCACTGGCACGATCCACCTCGCTGGCCCCAAGCGCAAAACGCCACCATTTCCAATTAAAATAAATCCCTCAAGCTACTTTCAAAGGTCCTCTTGCTTCCTATTTCATCATACCCCAAGGAGCACGGAAGCCACGGGGCGGACGGAACCGCTGGCTGTGCAAGTGCTTTTATTATAACGGGTCCCGTCCTCTCTGAAACCTTTAATTTCCCCAGTGGACTTTGCAGCGCTCGCGAGCCCCAGCGCTGGGCTTCGTCTAATTTAGACGAAAGGGGACTGGTACTGGCTCCGGCACGGGTGTGATGAGAAATGAGCACCAGGCAGGCGGGACCACGTGCACCCAACGCCTGTCGGCGTCTTGGAGGCAGAAGAGAAAGAGACGAGAGGGAGGACCACCGAGGGACAGGAGGCTGAGTAACTGAGCTGCTGCGTTTGTCCTGAAGGCAAGGTGCCTTATGCCCAGAGCACAGGCCTGGAGACGGGGTCTCGGCCTCCCTCGTCATTCACGAACGCGCTCCGTGTGTGGGGTGAGAGGGTGCTTAGGGGTGAGTGGACCGTCTGTTCAGGAAAGAGTGGAATATATACCTTAACAAGTAGACAGACAAAACTGCAGAAACCCCTGATTTGGATGGGGAATGTGACCTCCCGCCTACAGTAAGGAGAGGAGGATGACAAATCCTGTTTCGGGAAGATGGACGGAGGGACGCTTCTCCCTGCTCATCACCTGCGCAAGACACGGCCACGGCGCGTCAGGCTCCGGGCCAACGACAGCGACAAAGGCCCAATGAAATAGTTCCGTCCCTTCAGGTCTCACCGCGTGCCGGGAAACACGCTGCTGCCAAGAGCCAGCCGAGCCCCCAGGAAGTGCTCGGACAAGGCAAGGCAAGAGGCAGGACGAGGCGTGCAGGAGCCCAGGGGCCCCGAACTCTGCCTGGCGAGGAAAGCTGAGGCTCCCAGCACCGGCGACCTCTGGTTTGAGTCCCCGGACCTGCCAACGCAGGAAGGGGGGACTGGCCCGTGAAACCCACAGGACTTCCCACGCAAGGCCGAGGTGAGGGGAAAGGGCTCGGTTCCTCTGTGCAGGGAGCCCCAGATGTGAGCGGGGAAGGCGGAGCTCAGAGGGGGGGTGGCCTCCAGGGCTCAGAGGGCCTTGCGAGCTGATGAAATGAGGATCTGTCTCAAGTCCATGGTCGGGTATGGAAGATTTAAGTAGCAAAGGCAGCAAGATGGACATCTGTATTCTAGAGAGGTCATCTTTGGCTATAGCGTGGAGGGTGGCTTACAGAGCAGACACAGGAGGAGGAGGGACAGCTAAGAGGCTACCGCAAATGGTCCCCCTGACACAGATGAAGGTCTAAGCTCAGCAGCGACTGGCTGGTCGTGGGGCTGAGGGAGGAGAACTGCAGCCCTGGACAGTGTGGCGGGCCGTGATGGGGCCCCTGCCCCGAGGGGGGAGACACAGGGACTGTGGGGTGCATGGAGAAGCAGGAAATGTGGGGCTCGGGCTCTGGAGGGGCCAGGGTGGCAGGAAGGTGCAGCTGTCACAGGGAGGGGAGGCAGTGTGGGAAGGGCCAGGCATGGAACCGAGGGAACCTTGGGACAGAGGAGTCCAAGGAAGACCGAGCACAGCAGGGTTGGGGGAGCCACGAGGGGAGAGTCCCTGAGCAGGCGCCACCAGAGGCCACAACGATGAGCACGCCATGGCACCTGTGTGGCTTTGCCAGTAGGAAACCCTACGGGGAACGTATGGAAGGCAGTGTCTGCGGAGTGGCGCAGCAAAGACACGCGACTGCAGGGTGGAGGAGAAACGGGGAGGATGGCAGTGGACGTGCTGAGCAGAGACGCCTACTGACCACCAATGGGGGCGATGGGAGGACGGAGGCAGCAACGTTCAGGATAGGAGAGACTCAGACATGTGAATCTGCTGGCGGCAGGGGCGCGAGGGTCACAGGCTGCAGAGGAGAGGGGCAGGTGCACCCGAGTTACGCAGGGGACGCGGAGATGAATGAATATGGCTCCTGCCCTCAGGGAGCTTGCAGCCCACCAGGGTGGCCACACACACAGACGTAAAAACAGAAAGAGACCTGGAAATCGAGGCACAAAGAGAAGCGCAGAGAGTGCCTTCAGATGCACCTGCGGGGTCCCGGTGGGACCATGGCGGGAGAGGTGGGAGCCGCAGGGACAGAATCACTCTCGGCTCTCAAGGGCCCTGGCAGCCACAGAGCGCCGCGTTCTCAGTCTCCAGGTCTGAAGGGAACAAGTGGCGTGGCAAAGGACACAGCTGGCTAATGACGGAGTCGGGATCAGAAATCTAACCCCCCACCTCTATCCCAGCGATGACTCCTCCAGACCACACTGCTTCGCCCCAAAACGTCCGCTGCGGGCCCTGGACATCCGAGCCTTCGGTTGAGAACCGCAGGCTGCGCTCACTGAAGACGCCTGGGACACCCCCCAGGCGAAAGGACTCTTCCCTCCCTCCAAACTCTCCACCGCTTTATCTCCATGGCCTTATTTATGGCTAGTGTCACACTAAGACTTGACTCTTGGTTTTTCTCGCAGCTGCCAAGGGAATGAGCTCAGTTTCTGCCCTGGGACTATGTGGAAGGTTCAGGAAAGTACTAGCGGCAGTCAGAATGCAGCTGAGGCCACTGTATACTTGGACTTGGTCTTTCCCAGGCCCAATGAGGGGGAAAAAATCAACTCTGCAGAGACCTGAACTGTCAGACCATGGTCACTTCTGAATGGGTGGTCACCTACCCCAGGTACGTCCTGAAGACAGCTGCGATAATGCGTGCAGAGCACCGTGACCTTCTCAGACAAAGGTGTTCAATCAGTACTGTATTAAGAACGGCTTCATTATCATGAACAGTTCATCTGGGTTACAAATTTCCGATCACATACAAGATGTAAATGTCAAGGAAGACAAAAAACGGGGTTGGAGGAGTTCTCGCAATGTTGTTTCACTTCCTCAAAAAAAAAAAAAATCTCATGGTTCTGAGAACTCTGGGAGATTTCTTGAGTGGAGCAGGGAAGATCTTATGAAAAGGGTGGGCTTTCCAGCAGCTCAAAGTTTCAAGTTATAAAAAGGGGAGGTTTTTTTCCTGCAACAGAAATGGTTTCAAAGGTTTGATCTGGAATGACTTCAGGATTACTCATTCCGTCACTTGTTTCTGCTTTTAACCAGACGCTGCTACGTCTGAAGCTGGGAATGGCACGATGAGGAGGAGTTGCCCCCACGCTTGTAGGGCGGCAGAGTAGGGGCAGATACAGTAGCCATGTCCCACAGTGTCACAGAACACGTGCTGGGACCCGCAGTGTGGCGGACGCAGAGGAGGAACACCCTACACAGACTGAGGAAGGTCGCACCAGACACGGCGTCTCAGATGACGCAGTGTTTCGAGTTCATTCTTGACGGAATCCTAACGTTGACCCCAAGACGCATGAAGGACATTCAGGGAAGGGAACCGAGTATTTGAAGGCACACGGTGAGAGAAAACAGGCCACGGTGTTGAAGAATGACGACGTGACATTCTAACCAATGGAGAAAGTGACAGAAGTTGTCGAAGATCACTTGCCAAAAACAAAACACCTAAAAAGCACAACGAGACTAACAGGGAGGGATGGATATATTCAGAGATGGGAGAATTTCAAGTAAGAAGGAAACAATGCCGGTCTGCTCAACCCTGAATTAAAGCTGCCCTGGTCACCAGGATTGGTTGCCAGAGGCCACACGCTGAGCACCCTTCCCAAGAACTAAAGACAAAATCAACAGGTCAGCTGCTTCTCCCCACTGCTGCCACCACGACCAGGGAAGCTGGTCTATCTCTGCCAGAGTCGGGCGTGGCTGGGGCTGCACCTCCATGGGTGCGCTGTGCACATCTGGAGGGCCTAGGTGACAGCAGATGACCAGGGCAAGGCCCAGAGAACTATTCCAATGTGCGTGACGTCTGGCCACTTGCAAGGAAATCTCAGGGTCAAGGTTGAGGCCAGTTCCCAGGGGCTACTTCCTCCTCCTGCCTGTGGCGAGTGAGCACACGAGCTTCAAGAATCTTCCCAACGAGTCCCCTAAGAGAGACATGTGCTAATTAAACTGAGTCGCAGCTCCATAACCATACAGAACTGGCTATGTCTGAAAAAAAACATTCACACACTAAAAGCCCTGGCTTC